ATCTGATAGTTATCCGGATAAATGCTTAATGGATTGGAACTCTATTTCAAACTAAAGCAAGATAAAAACTTGATATAAATTCTATATAGTTAAATTGGGGTTTATACGTATAAAAAAAAAATTTCATCAGTAACATATGGGATGTTATGTTAAAAGGACATACAACAATTTTAATGCTTTGAAAATGATTTACGATAGTGTAACTTGACGCTGGTCAAATTGGTCTGATAGTTAAAATTACTTCAGTAAAACTAACCAATAACTGGCCCACGGTATATTCTTGGCTTTTCTCATTCGTATTTATTCGCTTCGCTTAACTATGAAGACAGTGTATTGTCGCAGGTTAATCTATGACTTTCGTCACAGAATGACCTAGTCCAAACAGCAAGCACTTGATCGCTTTATCACAGCCGATTATAAGTTTATTTACAAGACAATACTAATGGGTTATGTTTAAGGCAGGTACTTTATGTTTATTACTCAAATGAACTTTATTAATTAAGAGCGAGACTAATTCAAACTAACTCTTTAACTACTATTACATTCACTTTACTTATACATACTTCGGGTCACATTACTTACATCATAATTTGCTCATACGATCATACGACCGTTTGACTCTCATATTACTACATAAATTTACCTCATATTTCATGCGTACTGATTACCTTACTTCAGCATAATATCACACAATACCGACGGTTGCATAATTGATCCCTTAATTCCCGATCGATCACTTACTTGTCACGTGCATCACGTGCACAAGATAACGATTGATCGTTCGCTTTACCTTTATTCCCATACAAGATTACCGCATACTGTATATCACCGTGACAGTATCGTTAGGTATTTCCTCATGTGCCCCTACCACGCACATGAGAGTTGTAACCGCCCTTATTCTAGTTATGTCCTTTTGTAAGCGAAAAGGTTCCTTATATACTTAACATTCGACTTCATATTAATTATATCATAATTAATCATACGATACTTGACTTTTATTTCAATTAATTAATCATACGATACTTGACTTTCTAAATCTCATACTTCTTGTGCGCCTTAATCATTCTTAATTGATCATAGTTACACACATTAAACTAGACGTTATCTGAGTTGCTGATTTATTTTTTGTGTTTATAGTCTTCGAATCTAAAACATCAGAAAGATGTTCGCGCGACCGCGTATTTCCGATAATAGAAATGGCGATAGTTTGTTCTACATTTAGAGATATTGTAGTATACTGACCATTATAAACTTTAGATTCAATGACATTCGAATCATGCCATCTGATAACACCATAGACCTCGTTGCATAATCCTGGCACCAATTTTCACCGTAGAACCGATTTTGGCTGTGATATATATCAAATGTCATTTGACCAATTTGACCAATACTAAACCCTTTGACCAACTGGTCAAATTGGTCAAACTGGTCTGGTCAAGCTTGACCATTGACCGGTCCGTGTCAACCCTGAATAAAATCTAGTACTTCTAGTACTTTTACTCATAAACAAAAAACTTCATCCTTTGAACACATTAGCATTATGCAAAAACTTGAACCTGACCAAGACGTTGTTGTTTCAGAAATGTATGTATCAAACTTGTTAGAACTAAACCCTAATTTAATAAATAATATAAAAAAATTTTAGAACATATACAAAATATTACAAAAATAAACCAAGATAGGTAAAAATGATTATCTGTTATTTGTGACAGGCTTCTTTATAATCTTGCTCAAAAAATAAAAAAAGATTTTTCTTGATTAATTCTAATTCCTAAAGCTTTACACGAAGAAATGAATATGCTTAAAGCATTTGTGGAATTAAATTAGTTTTTTTTTCTCACTTATCTTTGTTCTATTTTTTTTTCTTTTTCATTTTCTCTAATCTCAATATTCTCATTTAGGGCTATTGATATCAAACAATTTGCTATTCGTCAAGGATATTGAACTGAAAATCAGCTCAGGTTTTTCAAAAAATGCACTGATCACTATAAATCATGGGACTTAATTTGTGATATTCACAGGCATGCTATGATGTGCGAATTGCTATGACCATATGTGGTTGAAACTGAAAGCCTTTCAGTTAATGGCTATTTAAATTGAGTAGAAAAACAAGATGATAGTATTTACAAATTAAAATTTGAGCAGATAATACTTTAGTTCAAAATTATCATAATTTAAAAATTCATAATAATTAAATACTATTATAGATGTTTGTCTATCTCCAGGTGATAGCCAACTTTCATACAGAAGTTAGGAATAATAGGCCACCATTAAGAAATGCTGTTAGGCATATATTTTCTCTAATTTGGTCCGGTCGTAGACATCCTATATATCATTATATTGTATATATTATCTAACACACAAATTAACTAAATATATGACTTTATTTAGGTTTCAGCAGATAAGTTATTTTAGAATTTATAATTTT